ACGCGCTCTATCAGTGTACTTTTGATATAATCCTTCATTTCAATAATTCTATGAATGACTGTCTTTCAGGGGGAGGAGGGCAGCAGGTCGAGCTGTTCAGCAGCTTTTTCTCCACATAATACGCGTCAGCTCTTTTGCCAACGGTAAATAAATTTCTTCAAAATAGTGTAGCTTACCTTCTTTAGCAATCCGCAAGCTTGCATTTTTCCGCGTTTCCGTCTTTAAAGTTTTTATTTCATGCCCATGGTCACTTTTGTGATCAGTAATGTCGATATTCACGAGTGAAACTCGAACTACTTTATTTGTATATCTGTTCGTGGATTAGTATCTCCCAAATGAACTCCCAGGTACCTCAAGCCCAGTCCTGCCACGTCTATTTCTCTTCAGAAAATAGAAGCCAAGAGCACGGATTATTTTTTTTTTTTACCACGAATTATTCTGGTCGAAAGCCACTTCCTGGATTACGTCACATCAGTCCTATGTGACGAGCAGGCAGCAAGTGGAGGTACGAAGTCAGTTCCCCTACAGTCGCTGCAAGGGGAACAGCACTGCCCCCACCTCCAAGCAGCACCTGCAGTATTAATTACCTTCCTCAGTGGTCAGATTACCAAGACGAAGGAGAGGGAGCAGACTGTGGTTCTGGAAGAGGTTTCAGAGCTGGATGCAGAAAAGCCCTCTTAGTGCAATAATCATTACATTGAGCTGTTAAGCAGTGTTTTTGCCACCATTCCTTCTAGAAAGAAGCAGCTGTAAGCGTCTTAGACATCATTAAGAGAGTGAATAAGAAAAAGGCGGAGGAGGACCAGAGTTCACTTCTCCCTTTATTATGCTCCAGTTACAGCTTTGTTCTGTGTACAAGGTCTGAATCTCCACCCAGCTACCAGCAGCAGCGCAGAGACCACAAGCACAGTGGAGGCAGCTACTGCCAGCAAGCCATAGCTGAAGACCTGGGGCACTGAGGAGAGAGCAGGCAGCAGTCAGTACACAGCCAGAGCAACACGCCAACACCGCTCACACAGTGGAGCCTCTCACCTTCGGACCAGAGCCGATGCGCTTCACCCTGGGCTGGGAGCTCAGAGGCAGTCAGGATCACTTCTCCACTAGAGACCACTGCAGTGTCTTTGGAGGAGCCCCCGCGTGCTGCAGCAGCTGCCCTTCCTGGAAGAGGAACAGAAGAACTGCTGGGAGGACTGATGACCAGGATTCAGCAGCCAACAGGTACCCCTCAGCTGGAGCACTGGAGCCGACATGCGACAGGTACTCACTCCTCCTGCTGCAGGTTGGGACACAGCGGTCAGTAGCAGTCGGCTGGCACACTGCTGCACTGCAGTGGATGTAGACCTGGAGAGAGCAGAGCAGGGATGAGAGAAGGTCAGCTGCCCCCGGGGATCAAGCTGGTGCCTCCCAGCCACGGCTCCTTACCGTCTCCTTCAGGGGGAGCTGGGAGGCAGGGTCCACAAAAGTGAACATCCGGACCATGAAGCGCTGGTAGTGCGTTGGGTACAGCAGCCCTGAGGAGCCGCCCACAGGGATCAGAGTGGTCTGGTAGTCGTCGTCTCTGTATGGGCACCTGCAGCAGGAGGAGAAGGGTGAGAGCTCTGCCAGCAGGGGTCAGCAGTGGGGAATCCAGCAAGAGCTACAGGAGGACAGGTTACCCAGCAACCAGGAGGCTCCACTGGGGCTGGCTCAGAGGGCTTGGGGTGGAAGTGGCCCAGCAGTCTCCCAGCGTCAGGACAATATTGGGATCCGTCCTCTGCAAGATGTGAACCTCCACATACACAGGATCCTGCAGGACCTTGGTCACAGGGTAGTCACCCTCACTGTAGTAGGAGTCATACTGCTCTCCTGAGGAGGAGGAAGAAGCTTTAGCACTATTTCACCCTGCAGGGCAGCCGAGCAGAGCTGAAGGCTCAGCACAGGTACCTCTTGCCAGTTGGAGCTCCACACGGAGGGGTCCTGGGGACACTGCTGGAGGGGGTGGAGAGACCGTATAGACCACTGCCTGCAGAGGAACCAGCTCATCATCTGCATACCTGCACTGGAAGAACAGCCTGCAGGAAGAAGCCAGCCATCAGGAACTGGCACAGGCCGAGGGGAGCCGAGGAAGGAGAAGGCAACCTGCCCACCTGTAGGCACTGTCCCTCGTGATGGAGCCATCAGGTCCCGACCTCACCTCGAAGCTGGAGTTCATCAGGTTCTCATACACTACAGCACCAGCCTCCACCTGGAACAGGGGTGGGGACATGACAGGCACAGCCTGCACACACTGGCACTCTGGGAACAAGACACTGGCTGCAACTCACCCTCATCCTGGTGCCACAGGCACTGACTGGGAACTTGAACATG